AACCCTTCAATTTTACTTTAATGATCATCTGAGGCAGTATTGAGACACCAATTTAATAAAAACTTGTTATGTGTACAAAGAGAATAAATCAAACATTGCTTTTTTYCTTTTTCTTTTCTAAATTAACAGCCAAAGTGCTATGGTACTTTTCTTGAGAACGTAACTGCGACTCATGGATACTGTATCATGGACACACGGACAGAAACAGGAACTTAGACTGGTATAGCAGTTAGACCAATGTGAGAGATTACCAGTCTCGGCCGCCTTTACAAACAAAGAGAAGAGCTTTTCGTTAGGACATGGAGCAACATGGAATTGTAATTCGGATATGATAACGTAGAGGCTCAATATTCAACTTTTGTACCAGCAGTCAATATGTTTGTAGTTTTGGACAATATACCAGCAGATCAAGAAAAACTTAATAGCAACAATGAAGATGGCAAAACTGGCCGGTCAATATACAGCAAAATTAGGAATTGGTCAAATAGAAAACCACTAATAACAGAGGCCGAATAAACTATCGAAGCTTTCACAGTGAATAGGCAATGAAGTTGATTGAACAGGAATTGGTAACATAAGAGAACAAGGTACTAGGAATATTGAGCACTTTTCGATCATGTGGACAAGGTTAAAAATTAAGACATGGTCAAATACCACCAAACAAATATCTTACACTGCCAAGAAAACCTTTATTTATTAGAAAAAATAATGATCTTTACATATACAATTCATGATTATCATTTAATTTATCAAGATAATAAATCATCATGATTACCATAATCACATATTCTGCCTGCGTTGCACATTTTTAATATCATCTATTATCGATATGAAGACAGACAATGCACAACTGGATAATAATTGCTTAGTATGGCAAACTGATCCGGGGTTCCTGCTTGTATCCACTTAAAATTGAAGGACATTCAAGAGGTTTTCAAGGGCTTAAAGGAGGTTTTTCTAGTTGTATACTCAGCTAAATAGGCCATGGTTTTACATGGTGTTTACACAAAGCCGATTTTCCGAGTCGTTTCCAGTACCCCTTCATTATAGGGAATTAACGTCTGGTTGATACCCTTCATTATAGGGAATTAACGCCCGGTTGATATTGTATTTAAATTTCTGAGGACTAGATCTATTTCAGAACCATGCAAGTAATGATCAAAGCAGAAATTCACCTTTTTGGCGCTAGCTTGGATTGTGTTACGGTCACTGTACAATTTCCATACAAATTCACTTACTTTAAAGAGAAAATTTAGGTAGATTTCTTTCGTTAGCTATCTTAACAGCAGTAAGAAAAGCTTCAATCAAGCTAGAAAAATGATTATTTACTTGTATTTAGAGAACTAACTAAACATTAACCAAGTAAATAGTTCATTTAGAGTCAGTACATTTGTATGGAAATTCGAGGACAATGTCCAAACTTTTTGGTGACCGTAACACAATCTAAAACAATTTATACCACGTGACGCCTAGCGCCGAAAAGGTGAATTCAAGTAGTTTCGCTAAAATCATCATAACGTTTTTCGAGTGCGCTTAAAATCAAGGACTTTTCAAGGGCTTTAAGGAGCAGCACACACTGTGTGATCTGATACAGCTATCTGTAAGTAGCTGACTTCAGGTCAACACCAGGCAAATGATCCTCTTTATGTGGCATCCATTTAGGCTGGAATAATATAAGGGATATTTGCCTGGTAAAGTATTTCAGGTATAACCAGGTATACCCAGGCATAACAAGGGCTGCCATTCTCATGGAAACATACAACTGCCGTAAGGCAAAGGTATACTGAAGGGAACTTTTTAACTCCCAATTCAGCTGGATTGTGGACCAAGGTTAGACATTGGACGTAACAAACAATTAAACTTATATGAAAGAGAAAAGAAAAGAAATAGATGAAGAAATGACAAAGAAAAGTGTTGAACAAACTCAAGTACACAATATCCAGATTTTACAGCAACATGCTGTCAATAGACCAGTCTCACATTCAATGTATACCACTGTTTTTTGGAGACCACCGACTCATTTGAAAAGGTTAAGCCTCATTTAATAGTCAGCTATTCACAGATACCATTAAAAGTATATGAGATTTCAAAGCATTAATATTATTCAACTTGCACATTCTTTACTTTACAGTTGACTTTTTAAAAGCAAATGATTAGCTCCTAAAAAAGGCTAAACATGTACGAACGATTATTTAGTCACAGTTAATTCACGTCACACATGACCAGTAATTCCAGGAAGCAAAACGTAGCTTTTAAGACTTCATATTTAGATTTCAAATCTCCAATCAGATACTGATGTTCAAAAAAAACTGTTTTGAACCCACCATTATGAACTGTGAAATGTTTTCCAAAAGAATTCACTTCCCAACCACATCGCTGACAATTAGCTTGAAAATCTCAATTTTTTAAGTTAAAAGTAATTTGAATTGCCAAAATTTTGAGCGTAGCTGGCGCCTAGATTTGGAATTACAGATAAAGCCGCCGAAAGTCCGAACATGAGAAATACTGGTCATGTGACCTGAATTGGCAGTAAAGGATTGGTTTTCAACTTGCACAATTTTTACATTACAGCCGACTTTTTAAAAGCAAATGATTAGCTCCTAAACAAGGCTAAACTTGTACATTCAATGATTCTTTAGTCACAAAACACAGCAGTTATTAYGGAATGACAAAATGATAACCATTTTYTCTCTCACAAAATTGAATGAAGTACATCGAATGAAGTAACACAAATATAATAAAGACAACAATTAAAACACATCCAAATATTTTTGACTGCTTCTAGACCTTCCTTTGTCTCATTATGGTAATTTTAGTCATAGATTTTGTAGCACAAGCCGTGAGTGCAAAAAGTGAAGAACTTGTTATGCTAGATTTCAAAACTTTAAATGGAGAACCATATATCAATATTGTCCTTCAAAGCTTATGAAATGCTCAAAGAATCCAGCAGTGTTGCAAATAGGCTTCTTTAGGAGCTCCATTTGGAAAAAATTTCACTCCTCCAGGTTTGACACATGTTCTTCAAAATGGATTTTAAAACTCGGGACATTTTTAAGTAGAAGAACTTGTTATAGCTATCGCTAAAGTGGGAACGGGGAACCTTGTTTTCCAGATTTTAAATTAACATGATTGATCTGAGATCACTTGTGAGATTAAATTCTTATGTGTAAAAAAACTGGTTGATGACAAATCAGATCAGTTCTTATACTCCCCCCATATCTATCGCTTCAGTTTTACAAAAGTGCATTACTGGCACAATATTCAAAAAAAAAAAAATTTCAAACTTAGACAATTTTTGGAAAATGGAAAAGCTAATTCCAGAAATTGTCAAATCAATGCTAACGATGATTCAGTTTAATGTCTTTGCTGATAAATACAGAGTGCATTACTTTGTAGTGATGTCACAAGCAAATTATTCTCTGATGGTTTAGTTGGAGTTCTATTGTTACATTACAGTACATTGATTGAAGCTCTTTTCTGCAAAACTTTTTTGTGCAACTGCTTTATAATGCTTCCGCCTTGTCAGCCTCGAATCTTCGCTCGACTGACTCATTTGCAATTACCACACATAACATCCCTGATTCTTGGGGTACAGTTTACCTGTATTTTCATTCAACACTTTTTGCACTCACCAAATATAGAGAGAAACTCATCATGCAGACGGGGGGAAATACAAAGGAAGACCTATAAGTAGTCTATTGTTATCCATACCTTGCTGGTAACTGCTGCCGCTGGAGTAGCTGTCACCACCACTGCTTCCACCATATCTTCCTCCTCCTCCGCTGCTGTACCCACCACCACCACCACGTCCACCTCTGTGTCCACCGCTACGACCACCACCATATCCACTGCCACCACCGTATCCTCCGCCACCACCGTATCCTCCGCCACCACCGTATCCTCCGCCACCACCGTATCCTCCGCCACCACCGCCGTAGCTTCTTCCTCCATACCCTCCTCCTCCACCACGTCCTCTACCTCCATATCGTCCTCCACCGCCACCACTTCCTCTACTTCTGGCTTCAGACACCATGAGTTTTCGTCCTTCAAAGTCCTAAAAAATAAACAAACAAATAAACAAACAAACTTCAATAACCACTACTTGATGGTTAACCACCGCTGTAGTAGCTGTCACCACCATTGCTAACTACATACAAAGAACTCAATTATGAGCTTGCTCCACCCTTATGAACCTACTCGCAGCCTTCACTACAGTAAAAGAAACAATCTGATAATTCCAAGATCCAATCTCATTTCGTGACTGACCCTTTTCTGTTGCCGCCCCTAAACTATGGACCACTGCCACCATCTCTAAAACATTTTCAAATCTGAACTCAAAATATTTTTATTCACTAGCCAAGGAATTAATTTATTCTTTATTCTACTCTATTATTCTTTTTGAACTTTCTACTGTAAAAGCATCAAGACCACTGTTTGAGTGTGTTCAAAAAAGGTTAAAACCAAATATACCAACGGAAAATTTGATTGATTTAACTCAAGGATACAAAATACATGTCCCAATCACTTACTGTGTCGTTTAAGTCCTCACATGCCGATCTCATGTCTTCCGCAGAATCCACTGTTACAAATCCAAAACCCCTGGAGGCTCTAGTGTCTCTGTCGTAAATGACTTTTGCTGTGGAAACAACAGAATAAAGTCACATAAGAATTCTTTTCGTATTCAAGCAGTGAGCACCAAAAACTATTTTCTCAAAGAAAAGCTGTTGCACAAGGCTAAAATCTTGTTATTCAGAAAGTTTAACTTGTTTGACATGCCAAACAGAAAATACTTGTACCCTGTCAAAATTTTTTTTCCCAGTGAATTTCAGCAAGCAGCAAGCTCAACTGAAAACTTAGCAAATCGAGCAAGGAATGGCGTCATCAGATGAATCAAACTCAAGTGGAGCCACAAGCTCAGCGAGTGGTTTGACTGCAAAGTTTACACATGCTGTCACCATTCCATGTTCGATAAGAGTAAATACCATAGAAAAGTGACCTTGATTTGTTTATTTTTACCACAAAAAATTCACTGACATGCACTTCTTCAACGTTTTGTAGTGATCAAAAGAACCAACAGAAAGAGCGCACGCTTGATGACAGCTTACTTGTCTGTCCTTTTACAGATCATAAAGGATAACCAATAATGCACTTGTCAATGTCTTGCCCCAGGAGGGTGACCCTGGGCATACCTGGGGAATTTAACTTTTTTCCTTTCCCTGGGGTTGGGAATTTCACGATATTTGACATAGCATGAGTGTCCATGGTGGGGGATGTTTTGACGATGCCATTCAAAAGCCTGGATCTAGCTGGCCGCCATCTTGAAAATCCGTCATCTTTAAAATTACCCAGAAGACACGCAAATGTTTTTCATCCACTTCTATTATACGGACTGCGTATTCGTATGTCACCTGTACAGCGACTTGTATTTGTATTTGTACGGGAGTCAAAAATTTCATCGATTTTCTCAGGAACTTTGTATTCTTTTCCGACTTAATGACAATAATTTTGTTTAGACCAGTTAGCCAATTCATGTCAGTTATGTTATTTTGATTCAAACTTTATTTGACGAGTCTGTACTCAGTAGCGAGCAACTCACTAGAATTTTTTCATGTAGTCTGGGTCAGTGTCACGGCAGGAAATGTCACACAATAGAATTTCTGACGACTCCCGTACGAATTATTCACGGTTGTTATTCCACAGGTAGCCCAAGCTTGGTTTCGGTGGCGTCCTGTTATAAGGAAATGTAGGGGGATTCATCAAAGATTTCAATAAAATCATCTAAATGTGAAATAAAGCCTCGAAATTTTACCCGATCATTGAAAAATAGCACTTCTTTCGCTCTGCGTGGTTATTTTTTGAATTTAGCCAGTTTTAAGATTTTTCCCCCCACCAGTAAGAAATAAGAGAAGGTTGGAAACTCGAGGCCCAAAAGCGAACCATCACGAGTCTTTGAAACCTCGTACGTCTTCAAATTTTCTTTCCAGCGCCAAATTTTAGTCATGACCCTCCTCTCACATCCCTATAGAACCGAGAAAAATAACCACGCAGAGCGAAAGAAGTGCTATTTTTCAATGATCGGGTAAAATTTTGAGGCTTTATTTCACATTTAGATGATTTTATTGAAATCTTTGATGAATCCCCATACATTTCCTTATAACAGGACACAACAGAAACCAAGCTTGGGCTACCTGTGGTTATTCGTACGGGAGTCTGTTCAGTGAATATTTATCACATACGAATAACAACCGCGAATAATAATTATTTGTACAGTAGTGATAAATGTTGGTAAATATTCAATGAACAATTTGTTTGAGGAATTTCAACGTAGCATCATTCACTCCTGGGAAAGGGATAGTTGGCATTACTAACTGTCCCTAGGGCAGGGAATTTGACAATTAAAAGAGTGCAAAATGTCAAATCCCCCAGGTATGCTCGGGTCCCTCCCCTGGGACAAGACATTGACAAGTGCATAAGCGCGCGAGAAATGAAAGATTTGTATTAAAATGAAAAAGCAGCATGGCTAAAAAAGCCTTCTTTCAAAGAGCTTTAAAATCTCATATCTACCCCAAGCCTTTTATTGTTAATTTTTTATAATTAATTTAATTCTATTTCGCGGTACGTTATCCGCTCCGTTTCGTTTGTTGATGTGTTATCTGCGTCACTCACGTTATGCCCAATTTTCCAAAGGCAAAACTTTTTTCAAAGAATTATTTGTCTGAAAAAGCCTGAAAGATCCCTGAATTAGTGCATATTAAAATATAACTAGCCTTCATATATTAAATTGATGGATATTTCTGGCATTTTGGCCTCGTGAAAGTCGTTTGTGGTTGGCCGCCATTTTGAACTGGAAGGTTCTTAGACGACGCAAAATGTTGGAAAAAACTCACGAAAGATACCAAAAATAATTTCAAAAACAAACAAATTAACTACCTGATGGCAAAATAAAGCTTTTTATCGGGTGAGTATATTTAAATATAGAAAGAAATTGAAAAATAAAAGTGCTAAGAAAACAAGTAGTTTTGACAAAGACGCTACACGAGGCGGTTTTCTTCTTTCACCAAAAAGAAACCTCAAAAAGTTCATAAAACTTGCAAACTTTTTCGCTCTTTACCTTCAATTACATTGTATTTGGAGAAGTGGTCCTCTAAATCTTTGTCTTCGACGTCGTAGCTCAAGTTTCCAACGTAAATCTTGTACTCTGTTTCTGCCATATTTGCTCGACTCCTTCGCCTCGTGTAAAGACTGATAATTATGCTAATTTATTTATTCGTTCACTCCCGACACAGGAAACCCATACCAAAAAAGCTATTATTACAGATACTGAGAAAATTGGAAATTCTGGAGGGGAGTCAAAGAAAGAACAACATTACAGAGTTTGTATGCAAGAAAATTGGAAGTTCCTGGTGGTGGAGGCCAGGGTTCCTTTTCCAAATTTCCTCAATGGTGGGGTACGTATATTTTCTTGAACAACACATTAAAAATAACATAGGCTCAAGGATGTCACCCAAGGTACCCCTGATATATACCTCTGGAGACCAATCTGAGTGAGTTCCACGTATAACAACTTGATAAAATGACGTAAGAACCCTGCCCATGACAGGGGTTGCTAGGCTTTTATGACACTTTTTTTTTTTCATTTTCAAAGTAAAACCCTCGAAAACATTTTTATACGGCCCTTAAGAGAGGCCCATTGACAATTATTTTCAAAGATGTCAATAGCCCCTGGGTATGCTCAGGCTCCCCCCGTTGGGGCAAGACATTGATAGGCGCATATCTGATTCAGTGTATGTATGATTTGAGACGAGATAAAAATAAAATAAAATAAAATAATTAAAAAAAAAGGTGCATAAACAAATCTATTATTTTCTTTTGTTCTCAATATTGACAACAATTTTGATTTCCAGTTCAAATGCAATGTACTTTTTTCATGCAGCAGTCATGCATACTTTTCCTTATATTTTCATCTTCATTTAAATAATATATAATAGTATCAAATGAAAGATTCCTATACAATCAAGTTATCTGGCAGTCCTTTAATAAACTATAACCATAATAAGCCCCAACTACAAAAACATTTATCAGAAAAATAATTCAACATCCTTATGAGTTACTAAAATAATAAAGTTATTATCAAAACACTATTAATTACAGTTGGACACAATACTCCATTTTAAAGTTTCGTTCCAAGCTGAGGCTGAAGTTTCTGCACATGATAAAAAGTATAGTTTTGCTATGCACGGAAACTGCAGCCTCGACTTGCAACTATTATTCGTGGTCACTCTAACGGAACTCTAAATTGGAGTATTGTGCATTTTAGTTCAATATCTTATGGTTATATACTGTTTACACCACATTTTAAAATGGTCTTTTGTACGGATTTGTTTTCAGTTTCTGGTTCAATAGCTTATGCTAATAATATTATTTACTTATATAAGGCAAACAAAATGACTCTTAAATGACAAAACATGTCTCATGCTAAAAAGGTCGACAATAGACGCTCTCAGTCATAGGGGGAGGGCAAAGTGCCATTTACCAAAACACAAGCATGCGTACGCATTAAATCTTTAAAGTTTTCTTCCATATCCAAAGGTTTAGTAAATTGTTTCGGAGGGTAGGGCACTGGAGGGGTTGCCTTCCTAGCTATGCCAATGCCTGTTATCTTGCATCTTACAGTTCAGCCTTACAAGCAAGACTATTTTCCTACCTTGAACATATTCATTTTAAAGGTTAGTCTAATGATAATATTTTACAGGTTTTGCACCACCACTTCAAGTAGAGATTCAATAGAAGATGGCTACCAGCAGTTGATCGAAAGGTACTTCACCTATTACTGCTGGCTATTTCCCTTTCAACTGCATCAATAAATGATTAAAAACAAAAGTAACACGTCAGCATCGTTTTGTCAAAAGAGCCTCCTAATTCCAAGGTTACTGAATCCTCTGTTTACAGCATTCATGTTAGACAGCAGGGAACAATATGATTGTTTCAGATGAGAAAGAAGAATTCAATTCCTTAGAGCAAAGGCATTGAATTGTTCTGCCATCTAAAATTGCTGCTGGCATAAACCTCTATTATTACTCCTTAGAATTCTAACATGACATTACAAGTTAACTACATACACAATACTTCAAATGTAGACATTATGAAATTGACTTAATCTATAAGGGTATAAATTTCCTTATTTCAGACCGAGTACATGGTCCTTTTCCATGCGGCAGTCATTATGGCCTTAACTATAAATTTTCTCCAATGTAGCCTCTCCTTCAAACCAGTAAAAATAAGATTACACAGGTTTAAACAAATATTGTGGGTAAACTTTTTATCATAGAAAATAGCAATACATTATTTTCAAGCTCAAACTAGATGTCTGTAAATGGCGAAGAAGCCTGAAGCGAGATGAGGTTTTACCCCCGTCTCTAGACCATGATCCTTTTCACACTGCTTTTGTTCTTCAATTATGACTATTGTTCCTGTATTCTCTAAGGAATCAAAAATTTTAATATGAAAGAATTTTAAAAACTATTATGGTGTAGAGTCGGGGGTAAAACGTCATCTCGCTTCGGGCTTATATACAAAGTCTATTGTTGATTCCCATAGGAATAAACATTGTGCTGTATGGTCAAGGTCCACTCCCTTGAAAATAAGATTTTCTATAATTTTCATATTATTATTATTTATCTCAAATTAAGTTACTGGTAAACGAAGAAATATCAATCAACAAGGGAATAACACATGATCTGAAATGGGGAAAAAATCCCTGGRTACAAAAAGTAAATATAATGGTCTTTTCCAAGAGTAAAGCAATGGTGCATTCTGGTCTAGCTTGGGTACCAAGTACAAACACCATTCCTTGTATGGTGTCGTATGCACCCAAGTAAGACCAGAATGCAACTTGTTTGTTAGATGATCAAAGGCCTTATGTTATCCAGAAGTTTAGTTTACTGATTCCCACCCCATCCACCACCACCTCGACCTCCACCTCGTCCACCTCTACCATACCCTTGACCATATCCAACTCCTGATGCTCCATAATAACCGGTGCTAGCAGCTGGCCATCCTCCATCAGAACTGAAACCATATCCTGTACCCCCTGAACTGAATATGTCACCTGATCCATACCCAGTAGAACCAGCGTTGTACCCAGTTGAGTCAAATCCTCCACTCGAGCCATATGCTCCTGCGTTGTATCCACCGGATCTATATCCACCTGAGCCATACCCTCCTCGGCCTGAGCTGAACCCAGCTCCAGAACCATACTGCCCATATCCTCCTCCATCGCCTCCTGCACTATATCCACTGTATGWACGATAACCAGATCGGTCAGGATTATTTTGGTACGTGCCTCCACCACGCCCTCTTTTGGATGCTCTGCTAACCTTTAATTGTCGTCCCTCGAAATCCTGTTGAAAAAAGAGATTTCRATTTCAAAACTAAATGGACTGTAAATTTAATGCAAACGGACACCTCACTATAGCAGAGGAGAAACAATTTGCCACAAAAAAACAGTGACAAATAAATGATGCTTGCCCAATGGTGTCCTCTGCAACAAATGCTGGCTGTACATACTAAAAAGTATCGTTTTGTATGGTTGCTTGTCGCCAGTCATGAAAAATAAATCTAATACTGTCTAATACAGAAAAAGGAATGGATGTTGCCACATGCAATTAATATTATTATTATAATATCCAAGCCTTCATTGAGAAGTTTTCTTTTCATCGATTAAAAAGTTAGTTGGGAGTAAAAGTAAAATTGCCAAAGCAGAAAAATAAAATGTTTTTTAATCTTGAATTAGAGGTTTTGCGCCATTTGATGGCAGCCATGACAGGAGGCAGGAACGATTGAATCTGGTCTAATTTGATCTTCATTTACATGAGAAAGAATGCAGTTTCCCAGGAGCAAAGGCTATTTTTGTGCCTCCTGTTATGGCTGCCATACATGATACTCAAGGAAAGTGAATCTCCACCTTAACGTTGTCTTTCCTTGGGTGAATAAGTGAATAATCAGGGGATCAAGGGTGGTGCAGTAGTAGTAGTTCCCTAGCCTCTCACTTATGGGGTCTCGGATCCGCATGGACTCAGCATACATGTGGGGAGAATTTACTTGGTCCCTCCCTTGGTTAAAGGACTTCTCTCCAGGTTCTCTGGTTAATTTTCCTCCCTCCAAAACAAGCTTAATTCCAATTTAATCTATGAGTCATGCTCTGACTTGGATCAGCCCAGAGGTTGTTTCAGGGTTCGATCTGTGAGTTAGCCGTGCCTTGACTTAGATCAGCCCAGAGGTTGTTTCAGGGTTTAATCTGTGAGTTAGCCATGACCTGACTTAGAACAGTCCAGAGGTTGTTTCAGGGTTCGATCTGTGAGTTAGCCGTGCCCTGACTTAGATCAGCCCAGAGGTTGTTTAAAGCTTTGATGTGGGAGTTAGCCATGCTCTATATCAGTGAGCCTTGTTGATGTCTTTGAATTGATTAAAGTGAGGTTATTTTAAATGAATGGAATCCAGAAAAAGTCAGATAAGTTATTCGAAATATTGAATATTTGAAATATTTGACTTTCCTAAACCAAAGTGTATGTACGTAATAGCTGACAACAAAGGAAGAAATTTAAGGTCTTAAAATAGGATGCAAGAAAGAACCTCAATAACACTGTTCCAAGAGATATCAGTAAATATCTCAATGTAACAATACATGTATAGACAATAATTCCAAAAAGTGTTCTGTAGTTTTACTTCATTGATAACTCAAAGCCAATAATATCACTTATCAGAGCCTCTGGAATCATCTCTCGAAGGTTTTCAACAGTAGAACCACATAAATAACCTCAAACAATCATTGTTTATACATCGTAAGCATCAATAGGATTCATAACATCGTGCAGCAAAGATTTGAGACAGGATTTTTGAATAACTATCTGCAAGCAGGCAAACTTCAACAAGCATGATTCTATTAATTTTTTAGCTTCAATTCTAATCTCATTTTACTGTACATCTAGTATGACTTCCAAACTGACATGCCATTTTATTGACAAAATTTTCAGGCCATAGTATGGTATTCAGCAAAATAAATAAATAAGACCAATCATTTCCTTTACGAAAAATATCTAATCAGCTTATGAATTATGAAATCACAGACTGGAAAAAGTCAGAATCTGCAACAACATGTATCAAAAATTGCAATGAAATTTAAATTCAGACCAAAAGTTTGAACGCCAGAAAAAAGACTATTTTGGAAAAAATTTAGTTGACATCAAATTCAACCAAAGTGGATTTTCAAAGCTTGTTTAGACCTGTTCAGCAGATTTTATTTTGTTCATACCGACTCAAAACAGAATTCGACTGCACGGTAGGCTGCAAATGTAGTTGATTAGAATCCATTTTGTAATTTTATTTAAGACTAACCATTCCATTACACTCTTCAATAGCCATTGGAACGTTTTCAGCATTATAAAGAGTAATAAAGCCAAAGCCTCGGGATCTATTTGTTTCTTTGTCTTTCAGAATGGTGACTGCAGATGAAAATTAATGTAAATATAGTCAGAGGAGTTCTTTTATTCATCGATTTAACAAAAAAAAAAAAAACAAAAAAAGAAAGAAAACTGGATCTTAGGGGTTAAGTGTGCAGATATACATCAGATTATAGCTGTCAAAATTATAGGATAGCACTTTCAGAGTCATTTAACAAACAGTTATCATCAATGCACAATCTATAGTTCAGTTAGAACACTTTGAACAACGACTACTGAAATACAAACAGAATTAGAGGAAACTATCTCATCATACAAGCAAACACATCATGAATGCACGCTGTACAATAATTCAATGTTAGTAGATATCAACAGTTAGATCATAGTTTTCGTGGTATATTCTTTTATTAACAGACAATATCATAAGCAAAAGGTTAAGTTGCTGAAAACATCATGAATGCACAATGTATAATATTTCCATGTTGGAATACAGGCTGATGTATTTCGCAGTATAACATTTTATAGACCATGACTTTTGTTGCCAACTGGACACAGAATTTATCATGAATGCACAGGTAACAATACCGGCAGGGTAAAATCAAAAATGCTGCAAGAAAAGAATCAAAGCAAGCAACAAATGCATGTTGAATGGCATCAAGAATGCACAATTATGTATATTCTTTCTTAATTTCATTCTTTTTAAGTCAGTGAATGGCTCGTTCATCAGTCCCGGTTCGTTAGAGCACTATTCATGTGTGTTTCTGCCACCAAGACAATGTTAACTCCAAAGGTGGTACCTTTTTACATCAATCAAATTTACAATGGTTCTAAGTTAGGATTTTTTTTGATTGATCGAAGCCAGAATTCAGACATCCCAAACTCATACCAGTCATAAAAAGAGCTATAGAGTTGCTCCACTATAACTTTGATAAGTATAACACACATAAAAGCAATAGTACTGTTTCTTTGACAAAATGGACCCAAGATAATCTTGGATGTGGGGCTAACATGAAAATACCAAATAAATCACACTTTTTCTCCATTGAATTCTTAGTATTTCTTTTGTATTTCCGTGTTAGCCCCACATCCAAGATGATTTTGAGATGGGTCAATATTCCATAAGTCGTTTCATCATGAAACTCTCTGTAAATAGGGGAGGTATAGATAATTTTTTGAACTAGACAATATCAGAAAAAATCAAATTTCCAACAAAGAAATCGCAGCCTTTGAAAGCGCCAATGCAATCCATCCATCAGTTAAGAACTCTGAAACCAATTTCAATCCAATCTTTATAAAGAGAATAAAACAAGCAATACTGTGAACTCGTCAAACTTTAAGTATCTATAAAGTTTGGTATTATTGGCTCAACCCAAATACTAGTAATACAACGGATTTTTGAGTTTCGCTTTATGAGCTTTACAGGAATACGAATGACTAGGCTCAAAGCTCGTGGCAGTGAATAACGTAGTAAACTCATGAGTCAAATACACCAAAACAAGTCAAAAATAGTCCTAATGAATGCTTTATAGATAAATAAGATATTTTTAAAGCAATCAGAGATAAACGAAGACTAAAAATCTAGTTTTTAATCTTCAGATTTTTTAGAACTTGAAGACCACGAGGTCTTTCAGATCTCATCTCAATCACTCACCGTCTTCGACCTCGAACTTTTCAAATTTTATGCGTAGATCATCCTCTGTTGTCTTGAATGGAAGATTTCCTACGTAAAGCTTGTTTTTATCTAGAGTTTCTTCCATTTTGATGATATAAAACTCTCGTAGAATAAAGAAAAGACTATACTTCGAAGAACAGATCGATCGATATCCCGATGACAGTGTAARTTATTTTTAGCAGTCAAACTGGTTTAAACAGGTTTTTTGATGCTTGCGTAACATCAATATAAGACCACTTTCGATTGGCTAGTATTATGGCCAACACAGGAACCAAAACTTGATTAATGCAAGATTAATTCTGCATGCGTGTAACTAACGGTCACCAAAATGTTACGACATTGTCCTTGAATGGGCCTTTTCACCCGCCAACCTTGTTAGTTTGGTTAATATTAATTATGATTTGGAAAATAGATTCCTCCACGCGTAAGAGAAGGAAAGGGAGGGGGGCTGGGAATGAGCGAAGGGCGCCTGCTTTGGAGATCCCGCATTCCGTCGTCTTTCTCGTTCATATGCTCCATGATGCTTCACCCCAATTAACAAAGCGCCGATACGCAGGCTTATATACGCTGCTAGGGCGTCGTTCTCTCATCCAAGGTAATATGCGAGTTGATCATGAGTTGAGTGATTGTTGTGTTGTTCTCTTCTATGCTAAGACAATTTTCCAGCTTCGGGTTCTCGGCTTTCCTCGCTCCGTAAAAAATAACAAACATGGTAAGAACATGCGTAATAGGTAGATGAAACGACTGAAGAAGAGGGCCATACAAGCCTGTCAGTCGTTTCATCTAAGGCTCGTAATTTATCAATTATGCATGTTCTTATTTGATATCCGAGCCCATCCCACACGGCCTACTGCCTCATCTAACAAACATGGTAGTTGAGAGGTGTGGATATTCGAATGCAATAGGCAATAGTGTATATGAGGCCCCGTCCACACGTATCCGGAAATTTTTGTACCCGCAATTTTTTTTTTTTTTTGTTTTTTGCGGATACAAAAATGTTCGCGCCCACACGCAGCGTATTCGAATCGTTTTCACTGTCCATACGTATCCGGAAATTTCATGATCTGCCCTAATGCACGCTAGTGCCTAGTCCTTTTGACGGATAGTTTTTCTTATTGAGCATGCGCGAAATCGTGTTTACGTCATCGTATTCGAAAATTTACGGATACGACCGTCCACACGTATCCGTATTCGGAGCGTATTCGAAAATTTCCACTCTGGAGACCGTTTTCGAAAATTTCCGGATACGGATACAAAAATTTCCGGGCACGTGTGGACGCAACCCGTATCCGCAAAAAAAATTTGCGGGTACAAAAATTTGTGAATAGACGGGGTGGACGGGGTGTGGACGAGGCTTGAAAGGATTGATGATCCCACAGGCATCTAGTTTTAAATTCTACAGTACATATAATTAAAGTTCTTTATTATTTACAGCAGACATAATCAGGCCTAGGGTTATCACAATAAACCGTTTTCTCAAGGTTGCGTCCGCATCCAAATTTAAGAAACTYGAGGGCCACGACACCAGAACACGAGTATTATCATGCATTGCTATGATTTTTTTTCCGATAAGAATTCATAAAATCGATTATTCTCCTCTTTAAATATAAAACTTTCTTCTCAATTTGACTGAATTTGCGTTTTTCAGTTTTGTGGCCCGTCGAGTTGGTGCGCACGCAACCTTGAGGAAACGGGCTATATATATCTTAAAATACATTTAATTTTCATAAATTTCGTTAACGACATATAGATAACGCATATTTTTTTGAAAGTTCTCTTTATTAAAATGGTCTCCAAAACTGGTCTCCATTTGAGAAGCAGTAAGATTCATTGGACTGACTAAGTGTTCCAGGAAATGCATTGGTGTTCGAAAGGTGACTTGAACAAATTGGTATGAATTGGACAGCGGTATTAACGTGTAGAGGTTGACACGACCGCGACTGAACAACCACGCCTTGAGACATCGGAGAAGGAATACCTGGCGTAAAGTTACGATCACGTGCCATAATACTCGGCCCACGTGCACTATTATCTATGTACATTCTGTTCTGTGTATTGGTTGAGATTCCGACCAAGTGGGACATAGTTTGAGTTCTTATTCTTTCGCTTGTTTCCATGACAACGTGGTCGGGGAAGATGCAATGTCCTACTTCTGGAGCACATCTGCAACAACCGACATTCACGCCTGTTGGGATAAGGTTCTGGCTTACCACAGTGGTTGTAGCGGGTACTGAAACAAGAAAAATAAACAACTAATAATATAAGCTATGGTCGTGTTGGGCAATCAAGAGGGAAGAGATGAGAGCAGGAGTATCCCAGAATGGATTGCGAGTGAGATACAATTAATATTTCACAGTCTTGCTAACAACTGACTATTAACCAAGTGCTATCCTCGGAAAAACAAGGAACAGTTTACCAACTGGGTTTTTATTGATACCGGAGTGATCAATAGAGGTTTTGCACCATCCCTTGATGGCAGCGATGTTAGATGATAGCAGGAATCATACAATCTCGATGGTTTTACATGAGAAAGAATTCAATTCCGGAGAGCAAAGGGATTTTATTGTTTTGCCATCTAACCACAGGCAGCCCAAGCTGTATTGTAGGGAGCGGGCACGTAATGACGTAGAACCTCTATACAACACTCGCGACCGGGAAATCGGGGTAAGTCTTACCGTCAATCGAGCAATGAAACAGAGACCTTTAGCATCAGGTTTACCGCTAACCGCTATAGGAATCAGGCTCAGAAACAAGCCCGTAAACACCGATAAACACTCAGCTTCAATGAAATTCAATATGGCGACTCTTCCAGCAACAGCTTCGTTATAACGCCTTGCTAAATGTCAAAAAGTCAGACGGAAAGCGCCCGACGTCAAAGTGCAGTTTGAGGTTTGCGGTACCCAGCAAGAAATTCGTGCTAAAAATCTCTAATAGTTTCCATTTAACTTCTTACGATACTCATGTACCTTTTTAACGTACTCAATGAGATTTAGTGCAAAGCTTTGCAAGTCTACGGTCTAGAGTGCAAGCAATATAACCTGAAACTTTAGTAATACTTAATAGCACAATTTCATGCAAATTCCATTGTTTTCTATTGTTTAATTAGCACTATTTTGTACTATTAAGTAATTAGTGTTTCATGGTTTCATTGTTTGCACTCTACTGAGGTCTACCGAACTTACTAATTTGTGCAAATTTGTGCAACTCCTTGCAAAGTGTTTCACGGATATATGGTATGCGCGAAACGGCTTTAAAAACCGCTGCGCATGCGCCAAAATTCCCGCCTGTTGCAGAAAACAAGATGGCGGACGAGAAAGTGTTTCCCGTGCTTCAGAATGCTCATATTTCCAATGACCCCCAGGCGTTTCAGTTTGACTTTGATTGGCGATCGAGAGCAAGCAGATAGATCTGTAGACCCTATTTAACATGTCCATAGTCTTTGAAAGAGTCTACACCGGACATCGTGTTACTCATCTGTTTCGTTTTCATGATAAACTACGGCATATAATCAAGGTGTTTGAGATAAAAACTGCGATTTTCGGAAGGAAAAATGCTAAATAGGAATCCTTTCCTCGTCCGCCATTTTGTCAGAGCGCCTGGGATAAATTCAGCGGTAAACCACATTGCGCACTCTCAGTTGATATTTAAATTAGCCAATCAGCTGTTTTTAAGCCGTGTCGATATGCACTCTATTCGATTTTCCTGTCGCTACTGTTGTTTTGATCTGCGCGTAGCAATGAAAACAGTAGTAAAGGGGTAAGATCTAACGACTTTAGCAATAAATACAATCAGTATTCCACGTACCACTTTTCCGTCGGTTGCGCAGTCCCCGCAGATGTTTCACAGTCACTTCCAGTATGTCAGCTTTCTCTAGTTTAGTGTATCGGGAACTCTGGAATTTGTTGCGAACAGTAAAATGTTTATTAGAGAACGATCAATTAAAGCGTCTTCAATGTTCCTGCATGCTCAGACAACTCAAGGACAGTTCATTTTTCACGGGCATGGGGGTGGGGTGGGGGGGAGGGGAGAGGGGAGGGCAGCTTTTGGGATTTTGTAGATTAATCTGCGACGACGACGTCAACCGATAGTGTAAAAAATTTCATTTTAGGCTTTCGCGCCCTCAAAGTTTCCCTGCTAGCAGAGCCTATTTTCCTTTTGTTTTGGTTGAGAGAGAAAAATAGACTCTGCCGATGTAGGACGTTATTTCTGTCGCGCATGCGTGGCGTAACTTAGCAACGCTGCCATGATTTTGACAGCCGCTCTCGTCAAACGATGTTTGGCGCCACGGTGTGTTACATTTGCTCATGCGCACTACATGTAATCGGTTAAAAACCGATTTTAAAACTGGTTTTGTTCGTCCACAATCGTGGACGGCGGTGTATCAAAAGAAACGCTCTACATCGGCAGAGTCTCCTTCCTCCCCGCCTGAAAGAAGGGAGAGAAAGAGAAGAGAGACTCTGCTAGCAGGGAACCTCAAAGTCTGTCTTGCCTGTGGATGAGTTGACTTCACTGGTAATGTTTTAAATGAATTCTCCAATAAACAGAACCTCAAATAACAATTCTTTAAATTTCCGGTTGACGTCGCCGTCGTAGATTCGTGGTCCCCTTTAAAGCAGGATATATTTTTAATATTTTTTAAATTTAGTCATGATAATTTTATAATTATTTTTGGCGTACCCCCTTCCCCCCTTTCCCCAACTTTTCCTAAATGTCAAGTCAAGTCAAGTCAAGTCAAGTCAAGGCAACGTATGTCATATGCTTTACGTGTCCTCCCTAAATCTTAACCCCCCCCCCCTCCCCCCATGCCCGTAAAAACTGATGGTCCCTCAGTACTGACCAACATTTGAACCAAAGTTTAGGCAACATTTTAACCCAACAATGACAAACGGTCCTTCTAAAGCCTGGTTTTCACGGCCGACTGAATCGGAGTTGGAAACGGGAACCGTTCGTGCGTGGAATTAGTAAGCCTTCCGTTCCTTTCATGGAATCATCCTCGGGATTGACACAGGGGTAAAATTCTTCGCTCGTTTCTCGCGAGAATAAGCGACAGAACTTTAACCCTGGGTTTCCAAGAATTTAGTGAATTTTCTCGCTTCCCGATTGATCTAGATCCGAGGGAAATCGGAGGACATACCGATAAATTACGTCCGCCTCGAGACTCCAAATCAATTTGACGCTAGATGACGAAAATCGTGGTAAATAAGAAAACATACCACGGAAAACTGGAGAAAAATCGTTAAATATCTCATTTTATGTTTACTTACATCTCTGTTTTGTGCCTCTAAAACGAGTTTTTTCAACTCGTCCAAGCTTTTATTGATGCGTTCGCGACGTCTCTTCTCCATAATTGGCTTAGACCACTAAACAAAATAGAGTCAAATGGTTCAAAACTTACAACTTTACTTACCATTATCGTTGAAATGCGACCCGCGAAGCTCGATGTCTAAAATAATTTAGTCAAAAATTTCTCTTGTCGGCGAAGGAGACATCACGCTTCGCGGGTCGCACTTCAACGATAATGTCAGTAATACATTATTGCACCTACATAAACTTAACTATGGATGCATTTTATAATAACTGGATTAGTTGTGATCATGCAATTAACGGTGACTTGCGATATGGAATGGATTGGAAGTGAGCGATGGCGATGGCACACTTATTTTGACCGTTACGCGTGGTTCAAGTTAGATCATGAAGGATTTGTTCGATTGGATTTTGTATCACCTTTCTTCCTTCGGTTTCGCTTTCGCTCATCTTCGACCCAGCGACAGAATCTTGGACCATTTTTCCTCCGAAAACACAAGTTTAGGAATTCTTAATCAACTGAATGTGAAAAGCTACGAAATTGGAATGAACGCTCAGACAAACTGCAACCCTTCTCGAAGCGCGCCTTTACAGATCTGCTTCGATTATTTACTGTTGTAGACCGTGGGAAAAAAAGGGTATTAAAAGTTTCCAACAGTTCGTCAAGCCGTGCTATTGTGAGTTGAAGTGGTTCAAATTATACGCTTGGACGATCTGATCTCAAGCGCGTGAAGATTACAACTGGACGAACGAAAATGTATGATTAGCACCTAAAAGTAATTCATTTAGGATATCAACTTTATCGAATAAGTATAATGGTATAGGTAGGTATATAATGGAGTTCTTGATTGGCAGAGATAAAAGCCGTTTAAATTAATTCGAAGTTAATGAAAGTCGCAGCTTCAGATCAATCCGATGAACTTTTAAGTTAACATTAATAAGCCATTTACTAACAGTATCCAATCGAAGTCCGTGAGAACGGCGGAATATGATTGGACGAACGAACTAGTGCCCTGCGTAGATCTGTGTTTAAGACCTAAAGCTCCATTATTGGACTGCTTTATTAAGACACAAAGAGTAAGGTAAATACGGAATTACAGAGTAGAGAGCAAGCACACGTGTTTTACTATTGTCTTGTAAAAGGCCATTCAACGCTCCGACTGCAGATGGTCAAAAGACAAAGGAACTGTAAACGACGTTGCACAGAAAGTACAATGATTTCGGGTTTTTTCCCACGCTTTGGTTACAGCTACGACTTCAAGTTCGGTACGCCAAAATAAAGCAAACGATAGCTGATTAGATTTAACGCTTAAGTAACGATGCAGATAAGAACGATAGCACTCAACGGCATGGAATGTAGAAAGGTGATAATTGTAGTATTGTTTAAA